TTTAACGAGTATCTATTGATTATAAAAAAATTGAAATCAGGAAAGGATGGACAAATTGGACTGCAACCTAAAATATACTGCCTATTTTTAAAAATAAACAACTACCAACATTACTAATGAACTAAAAATTAATCCAATATGCAAATTAAGTTTGCCCTATCATATTGATTCCAAATTATTATCTTTAGTATTTTCTATTAATTAATATATTCATTCTAGTTATAGTTATTACATTTATTTAATGAACAGTTATATATAAGCACTAAGCAATCTGTGAATAGAACATATTAAATTAATAGATGCTTGCAGACTAAACTCGGTGTTCAGTAAACGTTCAACAAAATTAGTACACAAAGACAAATTATGTATACCGCAAGGATTATACAAAACAAATCATAAGTAAAAGTAACGTATGAGTACGACATAAGTACCCCCAATAATTTTTTACATGAAATTCAAACGTATGAATGTAATATAAAAAATTTACTTTTTTAAAATAAAAATACCTTTTCATTTGTTTATATTTGAACGATTAATTTCCAATATCACTTATAAAGCTGAATTTTCCAAAAACACTCTTGCTTCGAAATGTTGTTTTGATAAAACAAACTTGAAATGCCAAAAATGTTACTGATCTATGCACGAAGATGAATCAAAATGATAACCAATGGAGAAGGTGGCGCTGTACGACATGGAAATTTCACAAATTATTACGAATTCAATTCAGCAGAGGAACGTTTAAAGTTGCTACCAAACAATGTTTGGACGAATTGCACTGAAAAACACGAGAATTCACCTTATTTGGTACTCGATGTTGGTTGTAATTCAGGTGTGCTGACGCAGCTTTTGTGGCAATATCTTTCTAATTGCACAGGACGAAATGTGTACATACTAGGTATTGATATGGATAGTACACTTATCGAACGGGCAGTGACGCAAAATAAGCATCCACAATATGTCAGGTATTCAACATTGGATGTAATGGAAGAATCAGCAGAACACAACATTAATGAGTATTTACAGTCACACAAGCGAAAGAAATTTGATGCAAGTAACATAATTATAAAACTTTTATTTAAACATATTTTTTCTATAGAAATGTTATTCTCTTTAAAGTTTGTTGTTTTGCTGTAACAATGTGGATACATATAAATCATCATGATATTGGGTTGAAAAATTTTCTGCAAAATTTATCCAAACTGACTGAATTGTTTGTTGTAGAACCTCAACCTTGGAAGTGTTACCAAACAGCGGAAAGGCGTTTGAAAAAAATTAAAAACCAAACATTTCCATTATTTTTGGAATTAAAGTGGCGAACGCATATAGAGCAAGAAATTGAAAATTTTATTGTTGCTAATTTAGGCAGACAAAAAGTGTACGAATCTAGTTTAACCAAATGGAGAAGAAAAATTTGCTTTTATAGATAATAGGCATATTTAAATCGAAAATTTATAAAAATCTCCAGATAAATTTAGTTATCAGTATTAGCTAAGTTTATAACATTGATATGATGTAAATCACAAAATTGCATACTTTTGATTAAATAAAATTTGAAGTTTTTGAATGAAAGATGTATTTTATGTCCATTATAAAAACATTTAAGATAAGATACTAATAAAAATTTGTATTCTTCTTTAAAACTCGTATGATTTCAACGCTTTCAACGTTCCTACAAGTAATTTAATTGAACTCTAGTCATTTTCGAGTAATTATTGATTATGTTTGCCTCTTAGTATAAGGCTTATTATATATAACAATATATATATATGTATATGCTGTGTAACAATATTTTATTTGCGAAGATAGTTTACACGTTTATGTGTATATTTATGTTAAGATATCTGTTTGAATTCAAATTTGTTTTTGTGCTAGGCGAATTATTCACTTAATTATTTTAGTTTGGAATTTAATGCATGCTTAGCTGATTCTTATAAATTTTAATGTTTTAAATTTTATGCTAATTTTTATGTCATTCATTAAGCTTTTTAGTTTAAAATGACTTTGTCTGAGTCCTATTTATCAGCTGGAACTGATACTTATTACTTCATCCTAATGGATATGCTTAAAACTCAAACAGTATAAAACAGTGTTACTGTTTTACAATCGGTTTAGTTTTTAGGTATATTATTATTACTAATAAACTAATCTATTTTAAATGTTTATTAAACGGAAAATCAACGATCTTTCCGTAACCAAAAGAAATACTATGTTATATACTATATACATATTTAAAGGGTATTTAATGCATCATATAATGTATGTACATGGATATAATCATAAACTGTGATTATATCGTTAATCTTATAAAAAAAATTATTTGATTTGATACAGGCTTAAATTAAATAAATTCAAATAAAACTTATTAAATTTTCTTTTCAAACACTTATACCATATAATATCGATTTAATATTTGTTTACACTTTGCATTTAGCAGACCTCAATTAACGATAATTGCACAATTAAATTTAATTGTTAGCAGCAGCAAAAATGCATGTACGTTATATAGTGTCTGACGTTTTTTTCACTATATCATAATTTTTAAACAAATTTAATATAGTATAATACTAACTTACAAATTATATAAAGTACTATATAGTCATAATATGAATTTCTTGTAGTATTTTTTATGTGATATTCATTATTGTCTCACACGTCAAAATATTGTTATTACAAATATAATATAGATAATAAGTTCAGGTAAATGATAACATACAATTACAATTGTAATTGGTAATTACAATTGAGATAAAATTTCACATATTAAAAGCACTCATATGTTCTGACGCCCAATTGTTTTCATCTGCAGTGTGACCAAGTTCGGTATACATATCGCAATATATTGAATATATAACCTCAGACAAATAACATTATTCTTCTGTGATATAACATACCAAAAACAAATTTATATACAAGATACCGATCAGAAAAGATTTTTTCTGATACAGACACAACTCTACAATACATATGTATATATATAATGTGCATTATTAGATTGGTGTTAAATTCAGATATTTAAAATTTTTCATAATGTTACAGATATTACAATTTTATATTAATCAACTAATAACATTAAAGAAAGTGATTTATTTTTTCGCCAAAAATTGAATTTTTGGCTAATTACAGAGCTGTTTCAAGTACCTATATTGCCAAATACCCATCATCAATGCTCTTGGAATTATATAAGAAATAATTCAATAATTGCATTGATTATGGGTATCGTAAATAATTTTTAAATAATTATTCGTAAATAATTTTTTGAGACTGCAAGAATCAAGGATTGAACTGGTGTCCTGATAAATTTGAAACTCAGAATCAATGTTTATTAGTCAGCAGACCCAAAGCTGTACTTGACTTGTATGTTTAAACTTGGAGTTTTGTTAATTTACTGTGAAAGCGCATTAACAAATTTACTTGCTGTGGTTTATTAGAATGAAATCATAATCCAGTTGTAGAAAAATTGAATTAACTATATTTTTAATTATTAAATTTCAATACTATTCTCCATTATATATTGCATGATTTTATTAAATAATAAAAAAAATGCAAATATTTCGTAGACCTTTGCTTATAAATTTTGTTTGAAATTAACAAACAAAATTAGTGTTAATAATTAATATTAATTATATATGAACATTAATATTAATTATAAACAACTAATATTTAGAAAAATTAAACTAATATATATGTATATGGATTATTATTATTTTATCATTTAGTGTTTTATAATTAGAGAGCATCAATCCAATTTCCATAAAAAATACTTTTTAATAACAGCTGGTAAGTAACAAATTTTTAGTACTTCAATTTTCCACATATTTTTTTCACCAATCGTAAGAAGTTGGCATCACTAAAAATTCCATAAATTAGTCAACAATTTTGTGCTGCGGAAAATACAGAAAACAAAGGATTTGATTTGCAAATATCTCGCCGTTTATTAATATTTTTACAAAAATGCAGTTAATGGAGAATATTAAAGAGTGGTGGTATGAAGAACACTCAAGAAATAAAAAAGTATCATTAATTGCGGGTATTTTAGTATGTTTGAAATATCTTTACATCAAGGGATAAATTTTTTGTTTACTAATTTTTTTTGTGTTTCAGTTTTTTTCAGCCTGGTGGATTCTAATTGATGCTATGTCAGCGGATGGCCAACATCAAATTACAACCGGTCATGTGTTCATAGGAGTATTTGGAACAATAAGTTTTTTTATGGTCAACACAGTAAAAAATTCCCATGTAATTTTATAATTTAAGTTATCTATATATATTTATTACTAAAACATTATCTTTAAGATTACGGAAGAAAATACTTCAGAATCAGGAGCCAGAATTGCCAAAATATGGTTATTAATTGGATTTGTAATAGGTTTCGCTTCAATTATTGCTGCAGTTTGGGTAATGATTGACGACTTTATTAATAGTAAGCAAATGGATTATGTCATACGTTGAAAATTAGTTAAATCTTATTTTTGCAGCTAAGAAAGACAACTGGTTGGGAGTGGCTTTACTTTTGCAAAATGTACTTTTATTGTTTGGCAGTTTAGTCTATAAGTACGGTCGTGAAGAGAGATTATGGGAAGAATAAGTGCTAAATTATTTAAAAAAAATAATAATAGATGGAAGAGTAAATAATCGTTGCTCGCCCAAGTAGTTTCACAAGCACGGATTTTATAAAAGAGGGAATACTTAAGAAATTCTCAAGGCATATAATACAAAAAATACTAATCTCATTCAATCATTTAACTGAAGTGTTGTCGTATATGCAAAATAATGTAAATTAATTCATAACTTCATTAAATTATGCATATACACTGAAAACAATGTTTTTTTCACATAAATCTAATCTTTGCTATATGTACGCAATCTCGAAATTTATTGTGCTTATAGTAATTTGAACTAAATACCTCCCAAGCTATGTTGATAAAGAAAATCAAATAAAAATTTTGATCACTACCGTCGATAGAGAAATATATAAAATTAAAAAATTTTCAAAAAATTTTTCTTAAAATGTGTTGTATAATCTCAAATTTTTGTTAATTTTATATTAATAAAATATGCAAAGAACGCAACAATGGTTATTATCGAAAAAATTATATACATATAAATACTTAAAATTTTGCATCGAATGCGTCCACAGGACAATTATTTTCATTTTGCAAGCACCACTCTGGCTGCAGAGCTTCAGCGGCAATGCCATTTTCGACCAATCGTTCGCGATGTAATAACATGCGCGGTTCCGCCTGACGCCAGTTTTGTTCAGGATTAGTCCATAAACGTTCGGCTAAAGCACTTGCTCTAGGCCAAAGACGAGAGTCTAATGTATGTTCATCAATTTGCTCTGACCAAATGGTTGCTTCAGCTCCAAGTACAAGTGAACTATAATCGCCAGCGATTTTTTCCAAACTATTCTGATATACTTTTTGCCAGCCAATATATGGAGAGCACCAGTTATTACCATCTGAAACCCAACCAGCCCCACCGCAATCGAAATAGAGTGCATCATAATTGGAAACAATAACTCGGAATCCACGTTTAAGTATGTCCTGTACTTTAGTATCAAACCCTGTAGTCCATATCTGTATTATATAACGGTCTTTATCCAAATAATCATCTATGTACGGTACATCCGTAAGATGACTAGTCCATAATATAATTGGTACTTTTTGATCTTTGAAAACGTTATCTACACGTTCTAGCGCTTTCGTCTGAAAATAGCCCCATAATCGTAGGAAATCAGCATCTTCTAGTGTCCAACCTTTTTCAGTCATCCATTTTGTAATACGTTCACTGCTTAACCAGCATTTAGTGGACACTTCATCACCACCCATATGGAAAATATCTGGTTTGAAAAGTTCATACATTTCACGATATATGTCTTCCAATACTGGGTACAATTCGTCAACTGTTGGATCTAGTTGACCACAAGGCGGCTCTACACAATAGTCTTTCCAAGGTTGTGCATTAAAGCAGGCTGTCATATTTTTATGCTGCCAACCTTCACCAACATGAGCTGGAGCATCAAATTCAGGCATTACACGTATTCCACGTATTCTGCCATATTCCACAACATCAGCTACTTCTTCATGGGTATAAACCTTACGCGGCGTATATGCACCAAGTTTATAAAGATCTGGCTGAGATTTGATTTCAAGTGGAAAGCTGTGAGAATCAGTTATATGCCAATGAAAAGTATTTAACTTAACCATAGCCATACCATCTAAAAAAAATATATATATATATAAATAAATTAAATATAACGCAAATGCTTCTTTCATTTTACCAAGTGTTCTTTTTATAGATTTAATAGAGTAAAAATTTCTCGATGTATCCAATAACAAGCCACGCCATTTATATACGGGTGCATCATTAATTTCAGCACTGGCTACTAACTGCAATTCCCTACGTATATCATCATATATAATTAATTGCGCCAACGTTTCCATGCCATGTCTGGCACCAAAGAAACTGTTTGCTACAATTTTTGCAGTTACTTGCTCATTATTATTCTCATAAGCAATGATCAGTTTATAACTTTCATCTGTATCCAAATCAAGCTTTGGTACTTCGTCTTTTAACTTTTCATTAACTTCAATTAATATTTGTAAGGGATGTCCTTCGTTCTTGACTACTTCTGCATTAGGAATTTTAGAATCAAGCATGCTCATAAATCTTTCTCTATTAGCTTGCCATAATTGGGATTGTTTTGCATTACTGGGAAAATTAAAATTAATGCGACTATGATCAATTTGCAGCATATATGAATCAATTTTGACAGAACCGGTAGGTTTAGGTAAAACCGTGCCAATAGTTTCTCCACAGAAGATACGACATACTGGAAGGCTGATAGCTTTGTTAAAATTCTCCTGGTTCAGTTCTACTTTAACACATTTGCTATTTTGACATTCGTAACCGTAAATCAAGCTAAAATTAAAGGCAGAGATTAGATTTTTTTGAATTAAATTTTTTCTGTAATAATTTTGAGTAAAATATAGAAATTTGTTAATATTAATATTATTTACAATATTCTGTAGGTTTTGTAATATAAATTGTATATTAATTTCGGTGAAATATTTAGAACCTAAAAAGAGTAATATCGTCCGATGTATATAGTATATGTAATTTTAATCAGCTTATCTCGAGAAGCACACATCGAATCAATTAAGTAATGTACATGTGATATTATGGAAACATGGAAAAGTTTCTAAAGTGGATTTTTGTTCAATCAGACAAAACAAATAATTGATTAAATTGCTTAAGTCTAACATATTGTGCTCTTACAAATGAACTAACGGCGACGAATACAAGTTTTTAAATAATTAAATGCAAGTAAAGATTTTGAATTATAAACAAATTTAATCAATAAAATCATGCAATACATAATGCCTCTATAGTACAAAAGAATAGTATTAAAGTTTAACAATTAAAAATATTATTAATTAGTTCAAGTATTCTATAACTGGTTAATGATTTCGTTCTAATGTAACACAGCAAGTTCATTTGTTAATGAACTTTCACAGTAAAATAACAAAACTTCAAGTTCGAACATAAAAGTCAATTACGGTTTTGGGTCAGTTGGCTACTGAACACTGACTCTGAGCTTCAAATTTGTCAGGGTACGAGTTCAATCCTTGATACTTGCAGTCTCAAAAATTATTTACGAATAATTAAATATAAGAAATAATTCCAACAGCACTGATAATGGGTATTTGGCAATACTCGAAACAGCTGCATGGTCAGACAAAAATTCAATTAATGTAAAATATTAAAAAATTTTGTTGTTGTAATTTCACTACCGTTTGATAAAAATGTCTCTATTAAAAACAATCGAAGTGAAACCAGCAGTAGAACAGGGCGACTAAGTTTTTTTTTGTTGGAAAGACAGTATGCAGCAGGATTTAGAAGAAATGAACATAGGAAATTGAAAAACAAAAGCAAAAAACAGAAGAATGGAAGACTGTTGTTAAACAGGCTTAGGTCCTACATGGACTGTATAGTCACAGATGATGATGATGATGATGATGATGATGATTAAAAACAATAGTTTTAAGAAATTAATTTCTTTCGTCAAAATGATCGGCAAAAATCAATTTAATAAACAAATTTAATGTAATATTAAATAATTCTATTATTTGTGACATAATGGAACGTTGTGTTTCTTTTTTTACTCTATAAAAGTCTCCGATTTTTAATTGACTTATTTCTTCAAAGGATGTATGCATACGTAAGGTATATATTATTTGGCAAAAGGTGAATGAGGTCATGTACGATTTTATATAATACGATTATTCTGACTGAAAAATCATTTGTTTATATATAATCAATACAATATTGAAACTTAATTATAATAATAAGTGTTTAGTTTTGAATTGAGTGCACAGCAATTAGGATAACGTGCAAGTGATTGCAAACGATAATTGCTTGATATTGAAATGTTATCGTTATTTGTCATCTGAAATGTTACAAGTGATTGTAATAAGGACTTGTATTATCTATGCGCTGCCGAATTTTTAAAAGTATTTTTTTGAAAAGTAATATTTAACGATGTGTGTTTCTTATATGATAATTATGGGTGACGTACCCCAGCGGCACCATTATGCCAGCGCTGAAAAAGTAAGCGAGGAGGTAATAGCTCTTCGTTTTTATTTTTCTTTGTTTTCGACATTTGTGTTCGACACAGGCAATTTCGGGGTTGAAATTATAAAAGAATGAAGAAGAATATTAGGAATTTCTTGTTTTGCCTACATTGTATACATTTAGTCTGCTTTTGATTTTAGTGAAGTGCGTGCAGTGAACAATTTTTAATTTTTAAAATCAAAATAAAATCAAAAATATAAATAAAATATAATTTCTAAATTTAAAATAAACTAACTGTAAGTATATGCAAAATTAAGTAAATATATTTAAAATGATAATTATAATTTTTGTTTTGTATTATATAGATGCATACTGTAAGACACTTTAAATGTTTGGTGAAAAAGAAAAAGGAGGAATTTTTGTCGTTTAAAAAAGAAGGTATAAGTGAAACAGGGAATTTAAATCGTGCATTTATTAAAATATTTTATTCTTTTATAGAAAATGATTTTCAAAATTTTGGTTCGAAAACAACACCTTCCTGCAGTACAGCTGAACATATTAATAGTGATATTAATAAGTTAATATTTAAATAAATTAATATGAAAATATGTTAACAATTTAATATGTAAATAAGATAATATAATTAAATTAACATGTAAATAATTATATATAAATAATTGAAAATGTAAATAAGTTAATATGATATGAAAATATGTTATATTCTTTTATGTAAATATTAATACTTTAATTTTATAAACCATAAACATAAAATATAATTTATCCCAAAAAATTTTTAGTATATTATTTAAAAATCAATAGCATAGGTAAAATTGAAAATTTAAGCGAACATATCAGCGCTGATATGTTGCATTACAAATTCGAAAAGGTAAGCTAACATGTCAGCGCTGATATGTTGCATTACAAATTCGAAAAAGTAAGCGAACATGTCAGCGCTGAAATGCTGCATTACAAATTCGAAAAGGTAAGCGAGTATGTCAGCGCTGAAATGTTGCATTACAAATTTGAAAAGGTAATCGAACGATTCAGCGCTTACCCGCAATGACATGCACGTGTTAAAGTAATTAGGAGTTTCCTTTGAATAATCAGCGCTAGGCATTACCATTCAGCGCTGAGGGAATCGATTCCCTCAGCGCTGAAAGTCCCGCTGGGACACTTTCTGTAATCTGTTTTACGTGTATTAGTGAATCAACTTTTGCATTACATCTTCTTTAGTAATACGTTCTAATTTCTTTTTAAATGCTGTATTTTCTTTACTGATATATTTCAATTTAATTTACATATTTTGTGCAAGCATTTATCAAAAACACTGAGTTGTCATATTTTTGTATTGTACTGAAGTTGTCTACTCAGAACAGCAGTAAGTATCGAGATAAAAAATCCATAAACAAAGCATTTCACATAACCAATAATAAATATTGTATAAGGTTTTTACTTTTTTAATTTGTGAAATATGTTCATATCTATCACGAAATATAAATTAAAAAATACTTACTCCTCACTGGTTGCAGTAGAAAGCCTCGCCTCCAGTGCTACCAATAAAACAAAAGTGAAGAGGAATATTTGTGCGGTACGCATCGCGCTTAAAAATCAGTCCATTCACTTCGATATTTCAACGCGAAATGGATAAGCGCTAAAATAACTTAAATTAGGTAAACGTTCGATGTTATAACAAAACCAATACAAAATAAAAAATGTTACAAATCTGTTTTAATTGTTTAATATACAAGACATGCACGTAAACTCACAACACATTGAACGCCTTGTCGAACCGTGAAGGCAAGGCGTATCACTGCCAACACAATTTCAATTAATTTCCAATAGCCAATTGATTTTACCGTTTTTCATGACAAACTGCTGGAATATATTAAACACTACATTTTGTTGGTAATAAATGAAGTATTGTTTATACTGCATAATTACTTCTTATTTACTTAGCGTTTAATAAAACCGATAATTTTTTTTATTTTGTTTATTATATTTCTATTATTTTAATATTTATTTATTTATATATTTTTAATATTTATTTCTGAATTATTTTACGCTATATATGGATTATTTTATAATATAGATTATAGATTTTTATATAATGATATATTTTATACATTATTATATGTATTTATAAATAAGTAAAGAAGGAAATCTATTACTGTAGAGTGCATGCATAACCAGTTTTTAATCCATTTAGAAAGGTTAAGGCTTAAATTTTAGGGTTTCTATTACGATACGGAACCACTTTCAAAAAGATTTCTTTTAAAATATTTATTTATAATTAGCATTCTAATATAACACAATAAATGCATTTGTTAATGAATTTTTACAGAAAATCAATAAAATTCTAAATTCGAACATACAAGTCAATTACTGTTTTGAGTCAGTTGGTTACTGAACACTGACACTGAGCTTCAAATATGTCAGGGAACGGTTTCAATTCTTGGTACTTGCAGTCTGAAAAAATTATTTAGGAATAATTATATGTAAAAAATAATTCAAAGATAACTGATGCTGGGAATTTGGCAATATTCGAAACAGCTGTAAATACAAATCAGCCAAAAATACGATTAATTAATAAAATAAGAAAATTTTATTGTTGTAATTTAATATTATTCGAAATACTTCTCTTTTGAAAACAATAGTTCATAATAATAATTAAATTTATTTCATCGAAACGGATGTTAAAACTCAATTTAACCCAATTTTTGTCGCAGAATTTGTTAATAAGACATATATTAGTGTATTTTGACTTCCTGAGCAAGAGTATGAGGTTAATCTTTTAATTCGTGCTGCATTGCCATATGGTATGTCTGTAGGCGTTACAATATGTATGCTATGCATGTGTATGCAGCGTCTTAATTTACATTACCATATGGTAATCGTGGTTTATTTCGTGTTAACGTACCTATACTTAATTTACCGTTATAGTTTATTTATACATATATATAAAATATTTTATTAAAAAAATGTTGTGGTGTCGGTATATACTTTGGATTATATATATACATATATAATTATATATATACATATATACATATATACATCTATGTATATATATAATTTGAACATGCATACAAATATATATATATATATAATTATAATCAGTCTGTTTAATAATTGTTACAATTATTAAAAAGAAATGAATGAAATTGAGTAATTAAGTGTTTAGTGCTTAGTGTTTGTACAAAAATTGTCTGGTTTGTTCTTTCTTACTATCAATTAAAAGATGACATAATTAAGGAGTGTCAAAGCAATCCAAGCCAAATCAAAGAAATTTTATTGTGCGTGCCATGCTTCCAATGATTGATGTACATATAGGTATTTATCAAAATATATCCATTCTGTTAAAGAAAAATATTTTTGAATATTAAAGAAAATTAATCATATGTGAATAGACTAAGTTCTTAAATTGTGATTGTAAAAAGAAACAACTGTTTATACAACAGTTAATAAATCTAATTTAAATCAATATAATATATATAAAAATTAAAATACATTTTAGAAGGTAGTATAAAAAGAGAAATTTATATCAAATATAAAATATATATTGTTACATTATAATCATTATATAAATATTAAAATTTTAATATAATTTAATAAACTAAAATACCTATACAGTATATATATGTTAATTTAGTCGTAGTATTGCTATTTTATGAACGATTTTTTAACACTATATATTAGCTCCACCATATATTCATATATACGAAACCCCATTTTATGCACGAGGTTCTGTAGCCCCTAATCTATATTATTCATTGTGTTCTGGTTTATAACAATGCTGTGTTTAATATTATCCACTTTTGTAAGACTGTTATGGTAATTTTTATTTCTTGTATATTCCAAAACCAAACCATTCGATTTTTGCAATTTTTTTATTTGATTTCTATAAAAAAACATATAGTTTTATGAGAGATGAAATCATTGAGATAAATATGAATAAATTTGCAAATGTTATTATCGGCTTACATTAACAGCAATAAACAGGTTATTGAACTTTTTTTGATATTTTAGCTTCATGCAGAAAGTTTATATTACTAATATAAAGATATTGCGATTTCCTTCCATCCATTATTACAAACATTAAAATTTGATTGCAGTTTAAAATTTATAAAAGAATAAGAATTCTTGAGACATACACATATAACTACACATATAACATATATAACTAAGAAAATTAATTCAGATGATTAACGTTGTTGAATATTAATTCAGGTAAATGAGAAAACTGAAATAATTAAATAAAACTAAATAATTTGAATATATTTTCAAGCATTTAAATCTATATATCTTTGAATTAATTATATTCAACCTGTTTTGTTGAACAAATACTTTTACAATTTTTCAATGGATCTATTAAATGTTCATTATTATTTAGTATATTTTTAAGCTTTAAAATAGTATATTTCGTAAAATGATATATAATTTTGATACCACCTGTAAATAACTAAATGACATGCTATATCATACATAGATATATACATATATAGTACAAATCTTTTAAGGTGGCGTTTCCACAGATATAGATAATTTTAATAAATATTTATTTATTTTTACTTCATACGTACAACGATGTGGTTTTGTTTAAATAATTCATTTTAGTATGTGTTATATAGTAAATTAAATATATATTATTAATAAAGATAATAAACGTTTTAACAATGTGAGTGTTCTTATATAGTACACAGATTATTAGCAGTCATTTCAGGTCTGAAATTAAAAATCGTATACGGTTTCATATTAAAATTCGACTTTTAGTTTGTTTCAATTTTCGTGATATTAACATCAAACCTAGAAGTTGGCTACATGTGGAGAAACTTAAAAACACTTTAAAATTGCAATTCTAACATTTCATTCAATGTTTTTTAAACCATCTATACCATCGGTAATTTTTTGTGTTCGTTTTCAGAGAGGGCTACCCGTATAATACATTTTTGTCAACTATTTATATGTAATAAAAATTGTTCCTAAAAATTTAGAATCCTATTTTGTTTACTTTTGTCTTGTTTACAATCGATAGTCGATAACAGCAAAGAAAACTGTCAATATTTCTGTAAAATTACAATAGCTCAGTTAATTCTCAATAGATTCTAAACACTCTCAGCCTGGCTTCAACTTGCGCGCCAGTAATAATATTTCATGATGTACATATAATTTACATGTGAATGTAGAAAATATTAAGTTATTATATAAATAAATATTGTATAAACAAAATAATAGCTCGTTCAAGCTGGCATCAATTTATTGCAAAAAATGAGAATATTACGTGTTCAAAATGTCGAAAACAGCTAATGATAGTAATTAGATTTATTCAATTATTTTCTTGGCCAAAAATATTTTAGATTGAGCGTTAACTTAAGCAATAATTGTTTGTAGAAGAGAAGCAAAAGAGAAGTTTTATTTTTCGTCGACAAAACCGTACCCATAAGAGTTTTATTTTTCATTGCCAAACCCGTACCCACATGTCCAATTTTTTACACTCAATTTTTCTAAAAATGTGTTTATAATAGGCCTTTTCTTATGTAAGCATGTCGCAAAAGAACAAATAAAATTAGCACTACTTTCGATGGTAACTCTGGACAAAATGAAGATTTTGTTAGGCTTATATGTGCAAAGCATGTAATAATTAAAAGTTGAAATTTCAAAAATAAATAATAATAATTGTTTGCAATAATTGGTGAGAATATTTTTTTTTACATGATTATGAATAAAATATAACTTTTCATGCATTTTAACAGTAAAATAATAAAAAGTATATATAATATTTGTTACGAACAATGACGAAACGAAATACGAATAATAAACGAAATCATTCGTTGACAGTTAACTGGAAATTTCGTAGGTACTTCCAAAAGTCGTCCACAATAGACAAATTTTTTCAGTTTTGGCAACTATGCGATTTGAGCTGCTTATTAGTAAACCGGTTTCAAAAAGGTTGGAATAAATAAGTCAGCATTGTTGTTCTTACATATGTTATTTTTAAAATAAGCAGTTGTTTTTTTGTGAAATGCTTACAAAAGAAAAGGTCTAATGTTAATTATTGTAAGTGTAAGTCTTATATAGTATTACAATAAATCTACAGTAAAATTGAGATTGCATTTATCGTAACTCATTTACAATTAATGTCATTTATTAAAAAAGTAGGATTTCTTTAACAAGCGATTCATCTTCAACTGACTATAGTCAGTTGCATATTTTGCTGATTTATTTTGATGAATTTCAATACGACTTATTGCATATGTACAAATCAAGTGAAATTTAAAAGTAAACTAATGGAAGTTGTCAAATTTTAATACAAATTATATTTATGTTTAGACTACTGTACTTAACTCGACACAACAGCATATGATATTCTTAATACAATATCCATACAAAACAAAATTAAACCAAGGAAATTGGAAAGTTTGTTTTATTTTAATTTAGTAAGCGTGTTGTAATTATATATCTACGAAAACAAAAGAAACTAAAAATCTATGTTTTCATAACACCTTATTAAATTTGTATAAATTACTTCACTAGTGCGAATGCATTGATTTATCGATAAACGCTTACCGCTATTGTCGATAAACATAGATTTTTTTTATTGCAGTGTTGTCAAATATTTTGCTTCCCAAAGTGTGAAGTGAGGTAACTTATACGTTTCATATCTGCCTTAATAGAAACTGAAAATAAAATGATGGATTTTGAATTACAAACTCCTGCTGGAGGTCTTAATGGTGGTAGAGACTATTACATCGATTTTGATCCTCCAATGTCGAGACTTTTTATAGTTTGTAATAAGTCTCACAATGAGGATGATTTTCGTATGGCTTTTTCCCCATTTGGAGAAATTAAAGACATTTGGATTGTTAAGGATAAGTTCACACATGAAAACAAAGGTATAGCTTACATTAAGTTCGGGAAAATTTCCGAAGCTGCTAAAGCTCAAGAGGAAATGAATGGAAAAGCTATCGGCAATATTTCTGGAAGCATAAAAGTTTTATTCGCTGCAAAGTAAGCATAACAGCACTAAACAATATCTATATTTTGAATTACTTTTGTTTTATTTTTTTAGTCGCAACCAAGGTTCTAGTAGATCTGATATTGAGCATGAAAAGTTTGTGCGTTTATTTATTCTATGCTCAAAAAACGCAATTGAGCAGGAATTGCATGAAGAGTTCAGTAAGTATGGTGATGTTGAAAGTATCACTATTGTAAAAGATAAAACAACAGGAATTTCAAAGGGTTGCGGTTATATACGATATACAAAGTAAGTATTATTTTGTTTTGTTGTACAAAAAAGTTTAACATCATTTCAAAAGTTCTTTTTATATTCATAAAATATTCAATATTTGTTTTTGTTATAGGTTCTCACATGCTGCTTTTGCTTATGAAAATTGTCCACATAAGTATAAAGCTATTTTTGCAGAACCGAGAGGTTCTACACGAACACAACGTGATCATTACGGTAGAGCTAACGACGATATTTCTGGGCTTAAAGATTTTAATAGTAACATGCAGAGATCTTCTGCATATCAACCAACATGTTTGGAAGTTACTGTCAGTAATCTGGTTAATCAAGATCAATTATGGCGTCTATTTGATATTATCCCTGGTTTGGAATCTTGTCAATTTACTAAAGAGAGTAAGTTTACGAATATAAATTTTTAATTATTGTTTATTATTAATAATGAAATAACAGCAAATATATTTATTCTTAATCAGTTTGGCTTATTTAAACTCGAACAAATTGGTGATTCAGTTATACATTTAAAAAAAATATTGAACAAATTTTGTTATAAAGGTTTTCTATTTGTGCCCAATAAAATAATACAAATGCTTGAATTTGAATATATTGCTTATACCATATAAATACAAACACTAAAGGAAAACTTTTTTTAATGAAATCTTAATCTATGGGTCTTATATGGTCGGTTCAGTAAACATAACTTAATTTTATTTAAGTTATTTTTGAATAATTCTTTTTTAATTTATATACTAATTTAAAGAATTTATTATATATATATATCTGATGTGAAAATAGAAAAGAAGTACATTTCACTTTATTAATTTATCGTTAATAAATTTAATACTATAATTTATAATTATAATTAGTTGATTTTACTGAATTTAAAAATTTATTTTTCTACTATCAGTTAGACCCAAATCTTTTGAAGCTAAGGTTGTGTATGAAAATGCAGAAGCAGCTGCTTATGCCAAGTAAGTGATATATTCTGAGATTTCTTCAGTTTTTATAAATATTTACTTAGGGAAAAATTGCATGGATTGGAATATCCTCTTGGAGAGCGAATTATTATTAAATTAGCCGGATTGCAATACGCATCAATGGAAACATCATTCATAGATAGTAAAAAAGCAAAAACTGAAACAGTAAATTTTTGAAAACTAAATTTTGATATCTTTTAGAGAGCGTTAATAACGAATCCATAGTTAATGTCTTGTTGCCTCCTATGCAGTCTATGGCTTCACCAAATGAACCTATGGCACAACGTTTGTTTATTGTTTTGGCTGGAGTGAGTATTAAGTTTTTGGTTATTGAAAGTCGCAAGTTTTTTTTAATATGTCTATTGTATTTTAAAGAGTGTGCCCTTATCCATACTAAAAAATGTATTCAGTTGCTGGAAAGGATTGATTAATATCTATATGCTGCCTAATAAGAACTGTGGATACGTTAAGTACGCTGACAAAGACAGCGCTCAACAAGCCATACAGGTCCTTCACGGTGCAGAAATTTGCGGAGTTAAACTTAAAGTAATGAAATATTTAATGAATATTTTATACACAAAGAGAGAGAAAATGTAATTACTAAAAAATACTTTTAGGTTTTAGAAGCTGAAGAACGCAATTATGGTGATGAGGCCCATAGAAAACGTTTACGTAGCAACTGAATGTGAGTTTGTAATATATTTTGTTGAAAAAAAATTTATGTCGGATTTTTCAAAAAGTTTATAGATAATGTAGTTATATATGTATATGTTTTATTTTATATGTAATATTTTATATTTTTGATATGTTTTCATATATATCTTTTATGCTAACATATTTGATTTTAATTGTGGGTTAATGTAAATAATTATTTTTTTACTTTCACAGACAATACCAACAAATTAACTAAAAAATAATCAATAAACTTACTAACACTGGACACATTATTATAGCAAAACGAAAAAAAAAAATTGAATTGCGAATTAGAAATATGAGAATAAGAATAGAAATATGTTAAACTTAGACAAGACCACAACTATAGTAGCCAAAGACGAAGACAACGTAACCACAAACATCAGTATAAATGAAGTTTTTTTTACAAGAACCTGAACGAACTGAAGAACGATTTAAACTTACTCAATATCGAATTTACTAAAAAACCGATTTACGGCTCAATATGAAAAGCAAATTACTTAAGACTTAATGCAATTACAGAAATGTTTTTCTATATTTCCTTTTTTTAAAAGACGTCAACATTTGTTTTCACAATTATTTATTTTATTCATATATTTATAAACTTATTCTGGAATTTACGTGTGTCTAGTATCTTTGAATTAAAAGTATTTCAAAACATAGAATTTCATCCTAGTTTTTACAAATAGACATTCATGTCTTTTTGGGATTGTATATATATGTAACTAAGTTATTATTAAATTAAAATCACTCATTTCCGTTAATGGTTAGATTAGGTTACTCTGGTTGGTCGTAAGCCATCACTAGACCTACTGGTTGTTTGCCTCTATATAGAAGTATTTGAAGATCTATTCATAAGACACAACCACTAAGCATTTTTTAAAACGTGTTCTTAGACCAGCTCTAATGGGACTTGCATCCAGATCACTAAGAACTTGTAGTTCTAGTACACACACAGGTTGTGTTATCAGAGCAATCTAATCAATAGTCATATCATCATCTTATTTTCGATTGACTATTTCATTTTTTCCTATTTGTGTGTTTTTTTGTTATCTTTTATATAATTATAATAGTTTATTTTTACTTGTTTATAGCAAATTCATAGCAAACTCCTTTTTTATTTAACACATTAGTTTTATTTTGCATTCTAAATTTTATGTGTAAAACCGAGAAAGTAGTGCTAGATCAAGTGACCTTAATGCTGTACTTGTATTATATTTGTTTTATATAGATATCTTTATTGGATCTTGATTTTTTTAAATGGAAACTAGATTGTTGTTTAATTTTATATTGGTTGAATTTTTGCATAGGTAACTGCGTACGTATGGGCTTAGGTTTTCGCTCTTTTCCCGCAAATTTTGTCTACGTTTACTATTATGATGACACATGATTATAGTAGGCTTGTGTGTAGTAGGCCCATCCATATTCTACATTAGTTAGAATGTGTCAACCAGGATTAAGACGAAAAAACCTAGCAACTCCAATGGGATGCGTCCAAAGGTCAATCAAATTGAGGTTTGAATGTGCAGTGGGATAGGAGAATAGATTGGTGATGTCATGGAAGGTAGAGCTGCAGTTTGCGCACACGTTGGAAATTGAAGTGCTTATGCGTGTCAAGTAACTGTTTAGCACATGGCTATATCTTCGTTTTAACTGAGTTAGGACAGTGTTGCTGTACTAAAAAGTCGTCGCTTTTTTCGGAAATGTTAGGCGGGGCCTACCATTGTCTTGATAAGGATACTGCATCTGTGTGGATGCAGTTTATACTTGACTTCACTGTTATTAAATCCATTACAAAAGGTATCGGTATATCTATGATATGAAGAAAGAGATCGACGGATGAGGAAGGGCTCTTCCTCATCCTCATGATATGACAGCACAAAGTTAATTAATTAAATTTTTATTTAACATTAAATTATCGTTGCTGAAATTATGTTATCTACAAAATAATAATAATTATCTACAATAAAAATCTCGTAGTAAAAAATTAGACGATGTAAAATATAAAAGCACATACATTTTATAATTAATCAAAAAAACAATTTTTGAAATGTACCCTACCGGATATTTAATATATTTAATTATGTGATGATCATAATGAAAAAAACTTAGAATTTTCTGAATAGAAATTTTGTGTAGACTATTAAGATTGTCTACTAAATGTGCCCACATCTATTTATCATTTTTTATCTTTTATTTATATTTTCTGTTTTTTCTAATCTTTGCTATCATCAAAAGACTATTTAATACTCGTTTATGGATTCCTTTATTATTGAATTAAGTATGGTCGGTTTTTTCTATAGTAATCTCGCAGGAATTATCTACAATACCATAAAGAATTTAATTTGTCATAAGTTATTATATTTTTCTTATAAAAATTGTTTAAAAACACACCACCTTTTTCCTCCAAATGAAATATATTTGCTATTTTTGATTAGTTTATTAATATAGCAATTTTAATACTACTTTTTTGGAATTTAAATATTTAGAATTATATTAGTAGAATGTAGTCAATTTCTTTTGCGAAGTCTATAGACTTGCAGATTTACATACTTACATCTATCTTCTTTGGATAGTAATGGGGGTCTACAATGCCATGTCATCAGTTCAGCGTAGATTTTAATATTCTTTCTACTGAACATTGTTTATTGATTTCGCCTCGATGAGAGAAGAAAAAATAAATAAACATTCCACGACAATCCTTTATGTAGCTAAGGATATATAGTCGTAATCTTCAAATAGTAATCTTGAACAATGTTTGAGTACACATTATTTTTATGTGATATAATTATTCCTTATTTATAAGGCAATAATATGAATAATTATCATACATATTTAATAATTTGAATGAATAGTAGTTTAAATAAAACCATATTTTTTAAGAAAATTATATTTGCATTTCTTTATGTATTTATCCATTTTATATGCAAAGATTTATCGATATTTCTGAATAGTATTGCGGCTTAAAATGTGAATAGTGCTTATGGTTCTGATACTATATCAGTCAATCATGCGCAATTTTGGTTAGGTCGATTCCGTTGCGGTAATTTCGATGCCAAAGATGCATCACGCACTGGATTAACCAATTGCCGACAATGTCGATAAAAGCATCGAAATTGTCGAGTCCGACCGTCATGTAAACTCTGTTTCGATTACCTAAAAGCTAAAGATCACAATAGCACAAAAAACTGTTTGAAATCATTTGAATAAGGTTGGATGTATGGGTGCCTGAGTTAACGCAAAGAAACCTTATGGACCAAATGAGGTCACCATCTGCGATTAAGTTTATTACAATTTCAGTCTCATAAGCTGGTTGTTACATACGTTGAAACTTGAAAATATTTCAGAATTGTAATTCTATTTACAAAATAAAATAATTAGTTTTTATCGATTATAAAATTATATATTTTAGTTTTCAGTTTAAATTAATAGGTCTGTTCCACGAGCTACTCGTAGTAACTCTGAAGAAAACTGCGTATACACAAAATTTTCGAGTAAATGAGAGCAAATGACAGCATAACATCCCTGTCGTAATGCGAAAATGCTACACAGATTTAAAATGTAGGAGATTTTATTTCAAGTACAACTACTACAATTACTGAATTTTTTCATCCCATTTTTAATATTTCAGTATATAGGGTAACGCTATCAGATCCGATAGAATACCAGGGTAATTTACGATATTAAATTGTAAAATAAGTTGTCATTTCGAATCAAGTGCTAATAACGTTAAAACACAGTGAGTAATAAATCAGTTTTTCTGCAAAAGTAAGTGGATATTTCCTAAAAAAAGCTTTGAACCATAATTTTCGAATCCATTTAAGTTCAAGAAAGTATAATGTATCAAATTAAAGAATATTTAATAGACTAAGAATTGAACTTATTGGCTGAATGTTTTTTTTAGTAGACATATCCGACACCGTGTATGTCGATGAATATCGAAAATAGATTTCCAACCCCATATGATTTTCATGATCTTAAGCAAAATAGTCAGAGCCAGTATTTACACGAGGTATGCATTGCACATTATATAAATATCTCTCATGATTGTGTAATATCTTGTATCTTTTGTAATAAATTTTTGAAAACTTAATTTTGATATCTTTTAGAGAGCGTTATTAACGATTCCATAGTTAATGTCTTGTTGCCTCCTATGCAGTCTATGGCCTCACCAAATGAACCTATGGCACAACGTTTGTTTATTGTTTTGGCTGGAGTGAGTATTAAGTTTTTGGTTATTGAAAGTCGCAAGTTTTTTTTAATATGTTTATTGTATTTTAAAGAGTGTGCCTGTATCCATACTAAAAAATGTATTTAGTTGCTGGAAAGGATTGATTAATATCTATATGCTGCCTAATAAGAACTGTGGATACGTTAAGTATGCTGACAAGGACAGCGCTCAACAAGCCATACAGGTCCTTCACGGTGCAGAAATTTGCGGAGTTAAACTTAAAGTAATGAAATATTTAATGAATAATTTATACACAGAGAGAGAGAAAATGTGATTACTAAAAAATACTTTTAGGTTTTAGAAGCTGAAGAACACAACTATGGTGATGAGGCCAATAGAAAACGTTTACGTAGCAACTGAATGTAAGTCTACAAAATATATAATATTATATTTATATTTTGTTAAAAATATAATTTAAGTCACATCTTTCATAAGCGTTATAAATGTTTTATTTTATTTTTAATATCTCATATAATTGATATGTTTTTCTATATATCTTTTATACTTACATATGCTTAACATTTTAGATTTTAATTAAGGGTTTATGTAAATAATTGTTTTTTTTTCACAGACAAAATAACAAAAATAATTAACAAGAAACTTACTAAACTAACTAATCGACAAACATTAAATTACGGACCCTAAAACTTAAATGTGTTATATTTATAATATGTTATACTTAGACAAGAGACCGCAACTACAATAAGTGAAGACGGACAACGTTACCACAAATATCAATTTAAATGAACTTTTTATACAGAAACTAGAATTTACTAAATAATGATTTATAATACAATATATGAAAACAAATTACTTAGAACTTGCTGCATTTTACAAAATTATTTTTTAAGTTCCACTTAATTTGTTTGTAGTTCGTTTCTTTTATCAATAAAAGTAATTCAAATATACCATTTTTTAATTTATATCCTTACTAAAAAGTTTTTAAGCCTCGTAATCACACTATTCGGTTATTTTATTCTGTACATATATAATTTATTCAAAAATTATGGTTTTAGTTTTGTTTGATTTTTTGCATATTATTATGTGTTAATTATTTCAGTTTTCGTCAGTATTTACCACTAAATATTAATAAATTAGTTATTGCAGCGGTATTACGTGTCAAGTTATTGTTTTCTCTATGCACTGGAACCCTATAACGGCTACATTGACAGGGAAAATGAAGAATAATGTAGAAACCTTGGATTTTGATGATGCTATGGAAATGGTTCAAAATTCGAACTAAGCATCCGTCCTAAAGGTACCAAAATGAATTATTATTGGTAAAGAATAGTTACTATCACAATTATTCTTATTATAAGAAGAATATTAAGGCTACTCATCTAACTAAGCATATAAATTTATCAAATGTATAAGTTTATGCGTTTACGTACACGGTTAAATAAACGTACTTATACTGCGTTTCCACTGCTTACTTAGTAAGTTATTGAGTAACTTTGAGCTTTTGTCGTTTACATTAGCTCAAGTTACTTAAGGCATGGGAAAGGGATTTTATGTGTCAAAAATTAGTGAAATATTTGTGTAAATTTATCAATCTGCTGTATGATAGCACTATTTATATCAGAAATAATTATGACAGAACAAAATGTAATGCTTAGCAGCGCAACTTTTTCAACCAAATGTTTAGCCAATATCTTTGCAATATTAAATATTTGTGTAAACTTTAAAATTATAAAATAAAATGCCGAATTTAAGCGAATAAATAAATAAATAACTTGCTTGTGTTGGTATGCGACTCTGTATTGACAACAGATAAATTTGTGCGATAAATTTGTTTGGCAAAATTTTTGTGTAAATTTATCAAATTTGTGTAGACTATTTTTCTACAAGATTTAACACAACTGATGAAGTAGATAAATTTATACGTTTATAAGATTTATAAGGTATTTATCAGTTTAGATGAGTACCCTTATTTTATATTCTTATATTATATTTTATTATATTCTTATATTATATTATATTATATTATATTATATTATATTATATTATATTATATTATATTTATATTATATTATATTATATATTATATTATATTATATATTATATTATATTATATAATATATTATATATATATATATTTAAATTATATATAATAAAATATTATATTATATAGATTATATATATCAAGTATAAGTATAATTAAATTATATTATAATTAATAATATTATATATATTATATTAAATTATATCAGTTATATATTAATATTAATTATATTTAATAATATATTATATAATTATATTAATATTAATATTAATATATTATATTATATTATATTATATTAATATATATTAATATATATTATATATATATATATATTATAATATTAATATTATATTATATTATATATATTATATATTAATTAATATAATATATTAATTTACATTATATATATTATATAAATATGATATATTATATATATTATATTTATATATATATATTAATATATTATATATATTATATTATATATATATATATATTATATTATATATATATATTAATATTATTTATATTAATTATATATTATATATTTATTATATTTTTATATTATATTATTATATTATATATTATATTATATATTATATTATATTATATTATATTATATTATATTCTTATATTACATTATATTATACATTATACTAATATTATAAGAATATTATTAAAAAATATTGCAGAGATAATTATACAAGTCATTGAAGTCTTGTAATTACAATAATCGTCATATTTAATAAATTTAATTACAATAAAATCTTAAATTTTTTGTTTCAATTTCAACGTTATTAACAATAAACTTAACAATAATTATTTAATTAACAATTGATAATTTATTTAATTAATTAACAATATGGTATTATATTGTGGCTGGAAAATCTAGAATTTTTTCCCTTATACTATGTTCAGACAGCCAAATTTCCTTAATTTCGTAAAAATGAAATTAAATTAATTTCTTACTGCCCCAAATTAAAGAAATCATATGTTTTTTGCTTACAAATCGATTGTTAAAAATTACAAATTTTCGCCTCAAATGAGCTAATTTATTGACAATGAGCTCATTTATATAAAATAAATGAGCTATAATGAGCAAAACTGCCTAAATGAGATGACGTGAATGTGTTATTATTATTTGCAAATAAGTTTACTTAGTAAATGAAACTTACTAAGCAAGCTGTAGAAACGTATTATAAAGACAAAACATTAGTTCGACAGAAAGAAATGATGAATTTTGTATTTGTTTAATTAATTGTGTCATGATGCAAATGACTTTGAAAAACAATGAATACTAAAAAGACCAAAAAAATTTACAGCAACTTAATTATGGAAAATTTTTAGAAATACACACACTGCAATTATGAATCAATTGCAAACCTAAATGAGGTAATTATGTGAGGACATGGTCAAACGTTAGGCAACGCAACAAACTAGGTAAAAATCAGTTTGTGAAGAAGAATCTGATTTTTTAGATCTGAAGTTTAGTAAACCTAAATAGGACAAGTTATGAACAATAAAAAATAAATTGTGTTAATAAAGTTAATCGCATTTAATAGAAATGCATATCCAATATAACATATATCCAATAATATAAACGAATATCCAATAAAATCTGTGTACAACACACGAATTTTGATATGTGATATAGTAACATAAATAAATTTTTTCAATTAAAATTTTTACATATATTTATTCTTTGAATTTTTAAGTTCAAATAGCAAAAGACAAAAATTGTATTCGTATGTTCATTCTTGAGATAACTGGATAAAAGTGTCCCCGTATGTAAATGTAGGCATATGATGTTAAATGTAAAAGACATTGGAGGCAGACAGCATGTACACCTAGGAACAACTTAAAATAATTGGGAGTCGGTAATTTCAACAGTAAGAAAAGCAACATAAAATAACGTACAACAATCATTTTAGAAGTTTCAAAAAATACAAAATTATATTTTGTTTATTTTTGCTTTCTTTGCAATCGCCGGTCATTAACAACGCAACTGTCAATTTTTATAACAAATCACAGTAGTTGCATTCACAATAGGTTCCTATAGGCGTAAATTGTAAAAACATTAAGCGGTGTCACTAATGAGATTTACACTACATTTTGTTTTGTTTTGTTACAATTTATGAGAATGTGGTTTGAATCCGACACGGTATATTACAATATTGTGGTTAATTGCAATTATACTGCGGTATGTGTCGAAGGGGTGATTAAGTAGTAATTATTGGCTAAGAGTAAACTCTATGCAATGGATTGTTGTTACCACGATTATAAAGCGAGATTACAGGAGAAATATAAACAATGTATGTACCTTATTATAATATATTAAAAGCAACTTTTTACAATTATATGCATATTGGTGATTTCATGTACTAGAAATCGCAAATTGCAATTAAATTTTTATAATATTGTTGTTTATTTATATTACATTATATATTATTAATAGGAATTCCGGCACCATGATTAAATTAGCATTTTTATGTCATGTTCCTTCATTATAATAGGAATTTATTTGGTAATTTCGAAATGCTGTTTTTGAAACTTGCTTTCGATAAATAGATTCGAAATTGCATATTGAAAAGAAAACAATACCAACTAGATCGGCAGTTCACTCGTGCCACGTAAATATTTTACTTGTACGACTGCACTAATTTATCGATAAAACTTCATCTCTATTGCCGGTGTACATACTTTTCACAATTTATTTCCCTTGAGCTTTTGTACAAAAATAATTGCCATATATGCGGCATTGTATGTTATAAAGTATAATTTAATACGTATAATATTTGGATTATATACAACTTAAGGCAATATGTCGGATTACAGATCGCAATCTCGTGATGGAGGCCGTGGTGTTGGTAAAGATTATTCGAATGACGATGATCCTCCAATGTCAAGACTATTCATAATATGTAATAAATCGCACAATGAGGACGATTTCCGTGAGGCGTTTTCCCAATTTGGAGAAATTGAAGATATTTGGATTGTTAAAAATAAACATACGCATGAAAATAAAGGCATTGCTTATATTAAATTTGCGAAAACATCAGATGCAGCTAAAGCCCAAGAGGAAATGAATGGAAAAACAATTGGAAATATTGATCGAACACTGAAAGTTTTAGTTGCAGCGAAGTGAGTAAACATTAATCAATTTTAAACAATTAAAAACAATATTTAAAATTCAATACTGTTTTTATAAATTTCCGCAGTCGCAACCAAGGTTCGAATAAATCTGATAATGAGCATGAGAAATACGTACGTTTGTTTATTGTATGCTCAAAGCAAGCAACTGAGGAGGAATTGCGTGATGAATTCAGTAAATATGGTGATGTTGAACGAATTACCATTGTGAAAGATAAAGCAACTGGAAACCCCAAAGGTTTTGGTTATGTGCGATACTCAAAGTAAGAATTATTTTGTTAATTTGTTGTGGATATGCTAATTGGATAGTAATTTGTAATATTTCTATTTGCTTATCATAGGTTTTATCACGCTGCTCTAGCTTTTGAAAATTGTTCACCCAAATACAAAGCAGTTTTTGCAGAGCCAAAAGGTTCACCACGCACACAACGGGACAACCATGGTAGATCAAATGATGACAATTCAGGGTTTACCAGTAATAGTAGAAATAATAATAATTTTAATAATGGCAGTAATTACAACAATGATTGGAAATTTAATTGTTCGAGTAATAATGAAATGTCACAATTTCTTCGTATGCAGAGCTTACCTGCATCTCAACCAACATGTTTGGAGGTTATTGCCAGCAATCTTGTTAATCAGGATCAATTATGGCGTTTATTTGATATAATACCTGGTTTGGATTATTGTCGAATTACTAGGGAATGTAAGTGTTATGAAGATTTTGCATATAATTAACTTATACGCCATTAAAGCATAATATAAAGTTTAAAATATTTTTATTATGTAGTCAAGAGATCTTGTTAGACTTTACCAATTCTGTAGCTGTGTTAAACTAAACGAGTTTTACAGTTCATGAGCTAAATTGATGGATTGTTTAACTAATCACATCGCTTAACTAATTTTCTATAGTTTCAATGAGAAATGTAAAATTAGAGGTGTGAGAGATATGGATAGTATGAGTATTTTTTTTGTAAATTAATATCTAATGCACGTTTAAATTACAGTCTCTCGCTATAGTATTTTACGACTCTCAGCGTAGTTCAATTATATGAAATACAACATACAACGACTATAGTCGAATCGTGCGCGATACTAAAGTAATTTATTTTTTTATTTACATAAAGAAGTTTTCGAACAGAAGTGAAACAACAACAAAAATTTATTTTTTTAAATTATTTTAATTAATTGAATTTTTGGCTGACCATACAGCTGTTTCCAGTATTGCCAAATACCCTTCATCAGTGGTCTTGGAAATAATTCTTATATTTAATTATTCGTAAATAATTATTTTTGAGACTGCAAGTACTCGGGTCCTGCCAAATATGAAGCTCAGAATCAGCGCACCTTAACCAACTGATCCAAAGCCGTACTTGACTTTTTATGTTCGCATATTTTTGCTGGAGTTTTTGTTACTTTTGCTATGAAAGTTTATTTATTAACAATTTTACTTGCTGTATTTATATATTAGAACGAAATCATAAACCAGCTGTAGAATAATTGAATTAATTATATTTTTTATTTTTAATTGTTAAATTTCAAAACTATTCTATTCGTAGAGGCATTATTTGTTGCATGATTTGTTCTTTCTTATGTATAGAACCTAATATAGGAACGTAATACTCAACTTCAGTTTTGATGTTGTTACCCACTGCACTCAGCTACTCTAGTTTGTTTAATCGTGTGTTGGGTATAAGGCCTTATTTAGGAATCGATGACTTATGCGATTCTTAATGCAAATAGTTTTAATGCAAAGTTAAAGTTAAATTTTAAATTAAATTTTGTTATAATGGAATAATTACTTTTAATATTTAATTTAAACTGAATGTAATTATTTTATATGTGTAACAGATAATCTTTCTTTTATATTTAAATAAACTATTCATATATTATGTTTTTATCATTAAAATCAACAAAAAAAAAAACGATCCAAGAATACTTAACTTGTGATATGTAAACTTTACAATATAAATTGTATTGTATAAATTGTATAAATTACAAAATAAAACTAAATTTTTTATTTAATCATAGTATTATAAAACACACTAAATTCAAAAATATATTTTTCTGCTAGATGGCCCTAGAACAAACGAGGTTACGGTTGCCTACGATAATCCAGAAGCAGCTGCTTATGCCAAGTAAGCGATAAACTGTAATATTTCTATAGTTTTTAAAAATATTTATTCAGGAATAAATTGCATGGATTAGAATTTCCGATTGGCGAGCGAATTATTGTCAAATTAGCTGGAATGAATAACACACGTATGGATTCGTCGTTAATAGACCGTAAAAATGTCCGTAAAAGTTCAATTTATAAAAAATATAATTTAATATTTTTTAGGAAGTGCAAATAACGATTCTATAGTCAATGTATCATTGCCTCCTATGCAACCCATGGCCTCACCGGATGAACCTGTGGCGCAACGTTTATTTATCGTTTTGGCAGGAGTAAGCATATACATTTAAGTTTCTGGAATTTTGAGTTTTTAAATATGTTTATTTTACAGAACGTACCTCTATCAATACTCAAAAATGTATTTAGTTGTTGGAAAGGATTGATTGATGTCTATTTGTTGCGTAATAAGAACTGTGGATACGTTAAGTATGCTGAAAAGGACAGTGCACAAAAAGCTATACAAGTCCTTCACGGTGCAGAAATTTGCGGAACAAAACTTAAAGTAAGGAAATATTTTAAAATATAGTATTATGTTTACAGAAAAACTAAATACTTTCTAAACAAATACTTTCAGGTTATGGAAGCTGAAGAGCGCAACGTTGGAGACGGCAACAGTAGAAAGCGTTTACATAGCAATTGAATGTAAGTAAATATTTTAAATAAAATTAAAATTATGAAATGTTTTGTGGATACTGTAGTGTAGTGTTTCATACCTAATAACAAAATTTAAATGGACTTGAACAGTTACGACTGAAATATTCTTAACCTTTTAAACTTGCATATGCTAAACACGTTCAACTTTAATTGCAGTTTTTTTTCTATTTTCACAGACAATACCTACAAATTTAATACGAAATTAATAGTAAAGAGACTTACTGAGCACACTTAATCGCACTTCAAATATTGATAAAATCAATGTAAAAATCTGACGAACCCTTAAGGTAAAATATGCTACATATGGACAAGACTAAAACCAAAACGAAATAAACGGAGACGACGGAATCGAAAATATCAATTGAAATCAACGTTTTTCTACAAGAAAGGAACAAAGTAGAGAACGATTTGAGCTAACTTAGTATGGAATTTACTGAAATAATGATTTACAACTCAACAAACACTGAATGAAAGAACAAACTACTTACTTAAGACTTTTACTTTTAATACTTAATTCATTTCATAAATAATTATGTCTGTATTTAAAGATTCATTTTGGGATTTGCATGTGGTTCGTTTTTTTAACCATTAAAAGTACTTCATAATACTCAGATATTTATTTTATTTACTTTTTTAAGTTTTGACTTTTTAAGTTTTGAAACACCACATTATTAAATAAACATGCAGATATATTAAACCATTATGTGATATAGTTTGCAGTCTATGTATAAAAATTTATAAAACATTTCAGCATATGCTAAATAGGATCTTTTCCTGTGTATGTCGAAATAATAATAAGCTTGATTTGAGAAGATTGAAGAAATATTGAATTTTAATGTCATGGAAATCATAGTATATTTTTCATTTTGTGTTAGGTCACTTATCAAAATAATACATAAACAAATGCCTATCGGCCTTGAAAATGTTTTATATATATTTTTCCCTTTGAAGTAGTAATGACAGAGTCAACTTAAATTTTCTTTTATTAACAAAAATTTTGAGTCGAAGATTGAATGTCGATCAGTATATTAAACTCAGTCATTATGTTCTGAACGATGTGACATTTGACTTTGTTGTCATATTCACTAAATTATCTTTGATCTTTACCTTTCTGTAGATGGTCAACCGGAGTGAACTTAACAGTAATATATATACTATTTTGTGAAAAATAAGATACGCTATTTTACAAGTAGCTAATGGCTAGAGTTGTAAGATTGAATTATGTCAGGCAATAAAAAATATTACCAGGAAATGTAGTCAGTCATGGCAGGTTGAAAGCTAGTTGATTGCAGTGGTAGGTCATTAGATAAGTTATCTAATGACCATGTATCTCAAATAGCGATTTTTCGCTGTTTTGTTACCACATTTCTCGCAAGAACCCCTAATGACTAAGTGCAACCCGTAAAATTTAGATAATTTTATTTAGGTCTCTCCTCTTCACCGAAAGAGGAGAGAAGTATCTTCCTAAAAACTTATTTGTTCTAGACGCCAAAGCCATAGAGAAAATAGAGAAAATGTATTATGGTTTCTTTTTCCTACCTGTGTCCATAACTTCTGCAATGATGATTATGATGAATGCGCAGTTTCTCTGCGTGGGCTTGTTATTGTTGTTGATCTGAATAAAGTGATTGTTTATCACAAAATAAAAAAATCTATATTACTTTTGTAATTATTCTTATTATTAATTCTGATTGCTTCAAATGAACGATTTAGTTCTATCTGCAACCAATTCCTGTGTTTGTTTATGTTCGCGCCACAAAACAACATTAGATAGAACTATACCCAAAACTGATTATAAAGACGCAAGGATGGTTAGATTTAAAAGCAATCTTTTGATGGAATCAGTGTATTCAAAGCATTTTATCACTCTATATATGATTAAATACTGAATGCAGTAAACTAATATGAGTTGAAGAGACGGCTTTGCGTTTTTTTTCGCTGTGATGCTTTTATAACCAACTGTTGAATATATCTTAAGGTCGAAAGATTATACGACTTATCGTTAGCATTTAAGCTTGAGAAGCTATAGATTCTGCTTCTGGAGCAGACTTATTTATACGCTTAATTTAAATTGCCCATTCTATCAGTTGTCATTAATGAAAAATGAGTTCTGCTTTTATCTAATAAATTATTTTAAATAAATATACATACATATGTATCTTGGATAATGTATGGTTACAATTAATTCTAATACTACGTTTACGTTTTCCATTTAATAAGTTTAAATGAAGCGCCAACTCTGGTTAATTTTTCATTACGCTAAGAAATTTATTTGCAAGTCTTTTTTGGCTGAATGAAACATTCATAGCTAATTTTATTTAAATTTTTTTTAAATTTTAATTTTACCATAAATCTAAAATTTATCAATGTTTATGTTTACATTGTTTACAAACATTCGTCAATAACAACAAAAGTAATTTTTTGTTTTTTTTTTGTTTTAATGTCAAATCACAGTAGTGTTGTTTATAATATTCACAATAGTTCAAATAATCACAAATGGTTTCATTAGAGCATGTTTATAATTCCAGTAACAGGAATTATATTTTTATTTAAAGTTTGATTTTGTAATGATTTTGATTTTTTAATTTGATTTTGTGATAAAGGTGATATTCTTGTCACTTATCAGATTTATAATTTGGTGATGTGATGAATATTTGTTTGTAATTATTGATTATAAGTTGAATTTGTATAAATTAGTGTCCAACCCTCCAGTTATCTGCTAACAGAAGTTTTATCACTTTTATCGTTCTATAGCCAATTACATGGTTATTGACCCATGCCCACGGTGTACCTATTGTCTAATAACAATACTCAGACACGGTAAAGGCTGTTCATCGAAAAAACAATAGAAACAAAGAGTTATGTATTTGGCTTATAGCCTATACTCATTCTGATGACATAACTTACTCCCATCCGCACACTGATAACTAAATGGAATAACTAAATGGAAATACAAAAATAAAAAACAAAAGGAACATAACTAAAAATACAGTTAAGTTTTCGTACGTCTGCGTTCTTTAGCGAGGGCTACAATATAATATATTGTATAGATAGATATAGTATAGATAGATAGATAGAGTATAGAGTCATTTGTCCAGTTCTCTATAAATACATTTTTTAGACAAATTAGAAAAAACAATAATGCTTATAGGTATCTTCTCGTGACTTTCGATATAACACTTCATAAATAATCCATTTATAAAAGAATAGAATAATATGATATTTAAGAATAAAACGGATAAAACTGTCAAATATTGAAATTTTCTGTTTAACATATTTTTTTAACAAGTTTCTTGTTAGGTTTACATACAACATATATTTACATATATAAGTAACCACTACTCATGTTTATATTTTTATAGACTTCACTTTTGCGAATGCACCAATTTATCGATAAAAACTCATCTCTGTTGCCGGTGTACATAATTTTCGCCATTTTATTCCTGCAATTTTTCTACAGATGTGTTATTGCTCAATATTCTGATTAGTAAATTATAAAGCATAATTATAAGTACAATAACTGGATTACACAGAACTTAGGCAATATGTCGGATTACAGATCGCAATCTCGTGATGGAGGCCGTGGTGTTGGTAAAGATTACTCGAATGACGATGATCCTCCAATGTCAAGACTATTCATAATATGTAATAAATCGCACAATGAGGACGATTTCCGTGAGGCATTTTCCCAATTTGGAGAAATTGAAGATATTTGGATTGTTAAAAATAAACATACGCACGAAAATAAAGGCATTGCTTATATTAAATTTGCGAAAACATCAGATGCAGCTAAAGCCCAAGAGGAAATGAATGGAAAAACAATTGGAAATATTGATCGAACACTTAAAGTTTTAGTTGCAGCGAAGTGAGTAAACGTTAATCAATTTTAAACAATTAAAAACAATATTTAAAATTCACTGTTTCTACTGTTTTTATAAATTTCCGCAGTCGCAACCAAGGTTCGAATAAATCTGATAATGAGCATGAGAAATACGTACGTTTGTTTATTGTATGCTCAAAGCAAGCAACTGAGGAGGAATTGCGTGAAGAATTCAGTAAATATGGTGATGTTGAACGAATTACCATTGTGAAAGACAAACCAACTGGAAACCCCAAAGGTTTTGGTTATGTGCGATACTCAAAGTAAGAATTATTTTGTTAATTTGCTGTGGATAGTAATTTATAATATTTCTATTTGCTTATCATAGGTTTTATCACGCTGCTCTAGCTTTTGAAAATTGTTCACCCAAATACAAAGCAGTTTTTGCAGAGCCAAAAGGTTCACCACGCACACAACGTGATAACCATGGTAGATCAAATGATGACAATTCAGGGTTTACCAGTAATAATAGAAATAATAGCAACTTCAATAGTGGCAGTAATGGCAATTACAATAACGATTGGAATTTTAATTGTTCGAGTAATAATGAAATGACACAGTTTCTTCGTATGCAGAGCTCTCCTGCATCTCAACCAACATGTTTGGAGGTTATTGTCAGCAATCTTGTTAATCAGGATCAATTATGGCGTTTGTTTGATGTAATACCTGGTTTGGATTATTGTCAAATTACTAGAGAATGTAAGTATTACGACGATTTTGTGTTTAATTAACTCATATTTGATTCATTTACTCCTAAGATAAAGATAGTTATATTTCTTTTGTTAAGATATTTATTAGTGTTGAAAGACATCAGTTTAGAAGATACAAATTATTTACTTAAGCAGGTGAGGGTTACGACAGGTAAATATGTATTAAAGCAATAGTTTTCATATAAACTATAGCAGTAACATTTTTAAAATAAAATCTAAAATTTATTTATGTGATATATATTACGTGATTATATTTGTCTAGTTTCTAGAAGTAAATTTTCTTCTCTAAGTTAGCAGAATAGGAGATATTATGAAAATATAATATTTCTACTAAAAATGATTATATTGGTTTAGGCTTTTGATGTCTAACTTATAATTTAAGCGATAAGAGACAATTTATTGAGAAATTATATTATCACTTGATTAAACCCTTTACATTTTGAAAAATGTAAAATGTTTTCACTAAATTCGAATTGAGTTTTTGTCGAATTATGTTCATTATCAACTATTGTTGTGGTTTATACGAATTACAATCTACAAAATGTGGTATGGGGTCATATTTGGTGTGAAATTTGAATGATTAAAGTAAACTAGAAGAATTGTGTGCGTGAGAAATAATCTCGCAACCTTAAAAGAAATGGGTTACAAGTCATTCTGCCACCACTTGGCACTATTACTATTTAGGATATGAGAATCGATCCATATCCTTATATTTTAAATATGACTCTCTGGGAGTTTTTTTTTAAAGCCTGATAAGAGGATAAGAGGAGCTAGGTTTTTGTTGTCCAAAAGTTTGATGATTTCTGTTGGTATTTCATCTGAACCAACTGCTTTTTGTTTTTAGAAGATTTGATGGCTTTTTCGATCTCATCTGTGGTTATTAAAGGACCGGAATATAGTTCTTGATGGTGATCGTTAATAGTGGTGCTCTTAGTATTATCTTCAAATAACTTATTAGTAAATTACTCCCAGATATTTGACTTCTCACGGCCATCAATTACCAGTTTGCTATTGTTATCAAATAACAAGCTTGGGTTCTTTTTCTGGTGCACCCCTGATGCTAATTTGATCTTTTTGTGTAAATTGAAGTCATCGTGTAAGTTTTGTAGTCTTTGTATTTCGCTATATTCTCTTTCCAAGCAGTTGGTCTTTGCTTGTCTAATTTTAGATCTGATAGTTCTTTGGAGATCTCTATATTTGTTGTAATCTTTGTTGTTATAGGATCGTCTCTCATCCATTAGTTGTAAAATCTCTTCAGTCATCTATTTTGCTTTAGCTTTATGTTTGTTAGCTAATTCCAAATCTCCAAGTAGTTTGTGTTTTGGTGATCTATGTTTGCAAGTTTGCTGTTAATTTCTTTAGAGATATTTTGGTTGAATGTAGAATTTTGCAGTTGTTCCAAATTGTAACTTCTAGTAGACTTCCGTTTCAGAGATATTGTAATTTTGATTTTATTTTCTTTAATTAAATTTTATTTAAATAAAATATACAATTTTTTTAATTTTTTTTAGATGGACCTAGAACTAACGAGGCTATGGTTGTATATGATAATCCAGAAGCAGCTATATATGCCAAGTAAGACCTACAATTAAAGATTAAAGCAATATTTTTAAAAGTATGTATTTAGGGACAAATTGCATGGATTAGAATATCCGATTGGGGAGCGCATTATCGTCAAACTAGCCGGAATGAATAGTGCTCGTATGGATACATCGTTTTTAGACAGTAAAAATGCAAATATACTTAATTTATATGAAATGACATTATCATTTTAAATATTTTAGGACGTGTGAAAAAAGACTCTATAGCCAATGTATCGTTGCCTCCTATACAGTCCATGGCCTCACCAGATGATCCAGTGGCACAGCGTTTATTTATCGTTTTAGCTGGAGTAAGTACATATATCTTCGATTATTTAATGTACGAATCTTATATTTCGTTTTATTTTAAGAATCTTCCTCTATCAATACTCAAAAACGTATTTAGTTGTTGGAAAGGATTGATTGATGTCTACTTGCTACCTAATAAAAACTGTGGTTATGTTAAGTATGCCGAAAGGGAAAGCGCACAAAAAGCTATACAAGTTCTTAACGGTGCAGAAATCTGCGGAACTAAACTTAAAGTAATAAAATGAATAAAAATATAATATTGTATACACAGAAAAACTAAATATTATATAAATATCTTTAGGTTATGGAAGCTGAAGAACGCACTGATGGTGATGACAGTAGTAGAAAACGTTTACGTAGGAACTAAATGTAAGCTTATATTTGCACTAAAATTTGAATTAAATTTAAGTTATTAGGTTTCAGGTAAGTAAGAGACACTTTGGTAAAAATTATTATGTGTTATGTGTGTAGTTAAATGTGTGATGTTTTATTTTTAATTTCAAATTGACTTCAGAACATGCGACAGAAATTTCTTAAACTTTTTCAACTTCAACTTTTGTACTTAAGATAAACACATTCGACTATGATTACGGCTTAATGCAAATAATCTTTTTTTCTATTTTCACAGACAATACACACATTAAATAACAGTATAGAAATTATTTAATACGTTAATAGAGAAACTTACTGACCACAGGAAACAGAACTACACCAAAAACAAAATAACAAAAAGAATGCATATTCTTGAACTTCAAATACCGATAAATATTTAGAAATCTGACGGACCCTTAAAGTAAAATCTGTTATATATAGACACGACCACAAACCAAGTAAACGGAGACGACGGAGCCACGAATTCAATTCATACCAACTTTAAAAACAAGAACTACAACAACAACTGGAACAAACTAAAGAACAATTTGAGCTAAATTAGTATGGAATTTACAATATATAAAAATAACGATTTATAACCCAACAGTAAAGAAAAACGTATGCAGACTCAACTTTTACAGATTGAATGAACAAATTACTTACTCAAGACTTTTAGTACAAATTACAAAAATTTTATTGTATGTATACTATAACTTTTATTCTCTTAAAATGTTTTATTTTATAATTATTGTCTCCATTTACAAATTCATCTCTGGATCCTTTCATGTGGTTGGTTTGTTTTACCATTAAAAGTATTTATATTTTATAGTATGTATTTCAAAATATTCATATATTTAATAATTCCAATATTTAAGATGTTTAACAAATACATATATCTATGAAACAAAATAAAAAGTCTCTTAATTTTTGGAGGTATGTTATATTATAAAATCTGTATTTAAACAATCTTCATATTTTATTTACATATATCAAAAAAAAAGGTTTGCTATCAATGCTTTTGGTTTTCATTTTAATAGGTAATAACTGGGTTTTATAAAATGGATCTGGGCAGGGGTGATTTTTTTTTTTTTTTGGTTTTGAGGAGGTGGAATGCTTTATGCACCGTCAAACCGACCGTCGTCGGAATGGTGTGCCCGACTCCCTAACATTAATATGTAGTATACGGACTAAAACCCCCCCTCTTCAGCGAGGCTTATTCCCCCTTGGAACCGCTTTCGCATTACTTCGAGGAGGGTCTATTTTATGTTGACATTTGAAGCCATGCTCTCTTGATTTTCTATCTGTGTCCAGACCACCACTTTTCACCGCATTTTCTTGGTGTCCACTCTATTTATTATATTTCTTATTCTAGTTTCTAGTTCTCCTTTCTATATCTAATTTCTTCTCTGAGTTCGCTTTCATCTTCTCCACTATGTTTTCGGGACTTATATGTCCAATCTGCGCTATTATCTCTTCCCTATTTGTGAGCCATCTATTGAGCCATCTAGTAAAAGAAGGTGTGCTCTGCGTCGTCACAGTCCCCATCACCATAAATGCAGTCGGGCAAATCCATTTTTCCCATACGGTACAGGTACTTACAAAAGTATCCATGTCCGGTCAGCATCTGAGTGAGATAGTAATTTGTGTCTCCTGATTTCCGTTTGAGCCAAGTGGTGGGCAGGGGTGATTACAACGCAAAGAAATATAATAATTTACATTCGCGGGTCAAAGGTGGACAAAGACTCAGACATAGCTGGGATCTATTTGACGGACCTAGAGGTTTATAAATCTAACCTTTGCAACTCTACTTCAATATTTCAGGCAGAAATAATGCCTTGTTTTCACTATATCATTTTCAATGACAATTAAAATTGACTGGTGTGTGTCAAATATGTTTTCATTACATGACAAGAATGCAAATCTGACATCATAGGACTACCCGTTTTCTGACAATATGAGGCATAAGAGTGTGCTCTCTTACTAGGCAAATGGACTTTCATGAAAAGGAAGTCTAAGTTATCACTGACAGTCTGGCAGCTATCAAAGCAATTTCGACAGTTTGCATCTCGTCCAAAAAAAGTTCACGAGTCCCTGCTCCTGTCAGTTACAGAGAAAAGTTGATATACAGCCATTTTTGCGACAAGCCAACATTGTGTTAATATCACTTAGTCTTTGTATTCTAAATATAGAATTGAAGGTTAGTTCATAAAAGTAAATAAAAGTAAAGAAAGTATCTATATATATATATAAATAACCAAGCTTGGTCTGATCTGTGGAATATCTTGCAGTACATGAAAAACAGGGACACCTGTTGTGTCTATGTTCAGGCTTGTCCAAAACCAGGAATAAGTTCTTTGGGCAATCAAATCTTTAATACACTTTGCGATATTTCCAACATTGGTATTAGTCAGATAATTGTATTTAAAAATACGAACGGCTAGTTATAATATGACAGGTTTTCCACCTACAAATGTAAGAAATGTGGAATCAAAACGAATTTCTTGGCGAATTGAAAAAGATTCGATATATCTTTCACTTTAATTGCCTATCTACTATAATAGTCCTGCTAGCAACCAAATATGTATGTTTATATATAAGTAAAAACTTGGTCAGCACATGAAGAAGATTACTACTGAAAATCGGTTGATATTCGTTCTATTGAATTTTGTAACATTTATATATTGATACACTTGTCTTAGGATGGAAGTGATCTAGAGTCATAAAGCTTATACTCTCGTTATGGAACATCAGTGTTCTACAGAAGATTATTTTTAAGTAATTTACAGAGAAATACGTGTCGAACATTAGCATTTTTTAAATTCTTTGTGTGGATTCGGATATTATATACTGACGTGACAGAGTTCAATTTACGTATTTTGTTTAGAAAGTTCTGAAATATTTTATGCTTAAACCTCCAGTTTTTTCAACCAAACTGGAGTTTTGTCAATGTGATGCCCTCTTAACGAAAAACATGGTTATAAAGCCATGTCCTCAGTGTATTCAGCAACGATAATACCCGGATAAAGTGGGGGCTAGTCACTGGAAAATAGTACCGGTCAAATATAGCTACAAAAGTACATAAAAACTATACTTAGCCCTACCAATTTCTGTGTTGATGGTCTAGCTTACCCACATATAATAACTATCCTACTCTATATAATATACTAATCAATTTATATATAAATATTAGAGAAATTAAAATATCCAAACCCAAATGCAAATTTTTTTTTTGAGTTATGGTTGGATATATAAAAGAAGTAGAAAATTTTAACTACAAATAACAATAAATTTTGTAAATAGCGATTTTTATATAATGTATTAATTGGTAAGTTTAAGGTAATTCACTGTTCTTTACTACCCATAATGGGTTGATCTATTTTGGTGCATTTAGTCTTGTTTTCCATAAGTTCTAATTTTTTAATAAAATAAGTTCTTATGAATGAATAAAATGTTAATTCTTTAGGGACTTATGAAGAAAACTTTTTGAAATCTTTGTATGAATATTAGGAAATGGGTTATAAAACATTTTAAATATTTAAAAACTTATATTGTATAATGTTGAGGCTAGTTGAGTCAATGCACTAGAGCACTTTTACTCTCTATTAACTACGAGGTTTCTTCATAACCCCTCTCTACGCCTTAATCTGACTAAGCAATAATTGACCTCAGGTCTGCATACCTCCCACTCTGTCCCCATTCTGAGATTCTATAACGCGGTTGTTGGTAAGCTTGTCAGTTTGCGTAAATAATTTCAAGGCTCTATTCTTTATGTATTTTTTGATCGAATCAATCTTCAGGTCCCTGAGGATGTCATTCATCCTAATGTAGCATAGAACCTTGAAAAGTTTTCTTAGAGCCTGGCTTTGTGCAATTTCTAGTTGGCGAATATTAGGATATTGGAGAAAGAAGTTAAAAAATTTAGATTAATTTTAATATAAATATTTAAAAACATATATTGTTATAACGAACAGAATTAACAATAATAAATTTGTGCTATCTTATTAAAGTTTATTACATTGTGTTAATTAATATTGTAATTATTTTTGCAATGTTTTTCTATGACATTAATAATATTTTTTTAAAATCTAAAAAAAAATTGCATATACAGAGACCAACAAACTGTCACCGTTAACCGGTAGTAATAATTACTATTTAATAATGAGTCACTTATTGCAATTGCGTATAATAAAGGCAAAAAAATGTAAACAAATTAAAAAGTAATAAAAAGTTTAATTGGTAACACTATTGTCACCTTGTCAAATTCATTAACGAGTTTTCGTCAAAAACAAAAATCAGCTGTGCATGTTTTGCCGGTAAATGGCAACGCTAAAGTGAAAGCACTCAAATGCTGGCTCGAAGAGAGTGAAGCGGAGAATTTTTCGCGAAAAATTATCAATATCTTTCTGCCAAATTATGTGTTTCATTAACTGAAACGAAAACTTAAATTCTACACGTCGTAAAATAAATGGAATGAAAATAGTGAAATAAGTTTCTTGGATTTAGTCATTGACCTTTGTGGTGACGTTGACGTCACGTTGATAGCGATTATATTAATTAGTATAGATTTTGGGAATTTCGAATTGTAAAAAATATAAAAAATTAATTAAAACATGAAGGATGCATTTGTGAATATATGCAATGTGCCGACACATATTTATACAAAAGGACGTTGGATAGAAGAATCATTGGATAATGAAAAAGAGATTGCTATTTGCATCACTGGTAATCCAGGTGTGCCTGGATTTTACACAGAGTTCATTGAGGAACTTTATCAACGTCTTGAATGCAAAATGCCAGTATGGGTAATAGGTAAAGAATAAATTCAATAATTCTATAATATTTACTAATGTATAAGTACTACTAGGTCACATGGGGCATGATGATCCTCCTGCTACAAGCATACGCGAGGTACCACAATTGAAAGGCAATGAAGAATTGTTCGATTTAAATGCACAAATACGACATAAAATAGAATTTATAAAAAAATATGTACCGCAGGATTGCAAAATACATCTTATTGGACATTCCATTGGCGCTTGGATGATATTACAAATGCTAGAAAATGATTATATACGACAAGCTGTTATTAAATGTTATATGCTTTTTCCCACCGTTGAACGTATGATTGAGTCTCAAAATGGTTGGGTTTTTACAAAAATTGCTCTACCTTTGTATTGGATATTCGGTTTTTTGATAGCACTTTTTAATCGCTTACCAGTTTTTATACGCATGTGTTTTATTCATTTGTATTTTTTATTATCGGCCATTCCTTCGCATTTTCGTGGCGCAGCATTATGTTACTCAAAGGCATCAGTTGTAGAAAAAGTTATATTTCTCGCAGAGGACGAAATGGCACGTGTACGTTTTCTGCAGACAAATATTATTGAACAGAACTTAAACCTGTTGACATTTTATTATGGCACAACTGATGGTTGGGTACCGGTGGAATATTTCAATGGATTGAAAAAAGAATTTCCAGAAATTGATGCACAACTTGATACAAAAAAAATTGACCATGCATTTGTGCTGCGATATTCAAAACCAATGGGCGGAATTGTGAGCAATATGATTGTACAAAACTCGACATTATTTTAAGTTGCTAATAGTAAATTAACTTATAATAGTATATATATGTATGCAGTATGTTTATGTAGTTTTAACCTATGTAATTAATTTGTATAACAATAACAATAATAATAGTAAATTGTTTTTTTAGAAGCAATATATGAGTTTTATCAAAAGGAGTTTGAAGAAATTTGAAATTTATTTTAGCGATTACTTCTACTGAAGAGTATGTAAAAGAACGGAATCAACTACTATCAAAATATTTCCAATTGCTTGCTACACAGCTGTACATCTCAATAGCTTTATATCATGACCTACCTTCATGATATA